TGTACATCGTGAACCAAGGGTGGAGGAGCTCGGTTTTCCCTTCCCCTTTCTTCTTGTCAAGGTCTAAGGTTAGGGTTTGCATCGACCACAACAGGCTGCTGGATCCTTGTCTCGACAGCCTCCATCCTCGTAGCTTGCTCGGCAAGCCTTGTTGTTTGCTCTTCTTGAGCATGAGCAATGTTCTCCAATTGATTTCTGATCGCTTCGAGTGCTGCTTCCATGTTTGCGATGCAAGAATACTCCAAGAACACAAGAACTTAACAATAACTAACACAACCTGCTTCTTGCCTCGCAAGAAACACCAAGAAATCCCAAGAACAAACAACCTCCTGTCTTGCGGCTCAAGAACATGCCAAGACCTTCAAGAACTCGCATAAAACCACCAAGAACATGAACAAGAACGCACAAGATCTTCAAAAAACTTCAAGAACACGCCACTGCTTTGAACCTTAGCTCTGATACCACTTGATATAATCAAAGTAGCGCAGGGTCAAGCTTCTCGAACCAAATAGAACCGGATAGGATAGAAATCGATCAAATAGTACTCACCCATGAATAAGGGCAATCGATATATGAATCGATCGGACAGATTCAACTCGGAATAAAGGGCAATCGATATGGGTAGCTCGCCACAACCAGGGTGAATACCTAGCTGATAAGAGTCGCTCTAGCACTCTGGAGATTCTCGACAGAGTAATTAGGGCAAATTCCGCGTAGGGAACTCGGCAATAGCCTCTGAAATTCAATAATAATTGTCTTTTGGGCAAACCAGCTTGTTCAGCCCTTTAAATAGGCAAAGTATGACCCAAATCCGACTCCAACATGGAAAAACAATCATAAACCGACTTTAAAACAAGGAAACTCAGAAACAGCCCAGCAAACTCGTTAAGCCCAAACCGTTAAGCCTGGAACCGTTAAGTAAACCCGTTAAGGCTGGACCCGTTAAGCAAACCCGTTAAGTCTGCTTCTTGCAATTTGCCTTCTCTTCAGCACTTCCTCCTTCTTCCTCCACTCGAATCATCATATATGGCTTCCCTCGAAATAGCTCCACGTCCATGGGTCCAAAGTAGCTCTCCAAATATGTCGCAAGCTTCTCCTTCAACGTCCTTGCCTTAGCACGTGTGACTAGCCCATTGATGTCCTCATCAAAAAATAAAACAAAAGAGTTAAGAGTTCCAAGTGGAGCGGTGGGGCGAAACGAATCGGCTCTGCCACATATCTCCCTCGTCGGCTACCACTCATAGGGTCGAGGGGCCCATCTCATCATCTGGAATGAGGCCCTGGCGACGAGCCATCTTTTCAAGTAGGTCGATCTGTCGGTCTAGGCGGGAAGTGACTCCCACGACGTGAGTCTCAAGGAGATCCATCATCTGGACGTGGTGCTGCTGCTGGTCGTGGTACTGGGAGCTGGAGCGAGACATGCTGGCGGCGACAGCAAGCTCGAACAGGTGGCTGCTCTGGAGGTGGGACCTCTGGATCTGCCTCCACTAGAGCTCGGTCAACTACTGGCCTCATGACTCTTGAGGTTCGAACCCCTCAAGGTACTATACCCCCCCCCCCCCCCCCCCCCCCCCCCCCCGCGCGCGTCACTCTTTGAAGAACCAGCTTACTAGCTTCTGGTTGTAGAGAGTCGCCACAGGGAAGGGCTTTGTCCGCCCAACGATGGAGCACCACTCCAGATCCACATGGAAATGCCAAGCCAGCCTCGTAATGATGCCCCCCATATGCATAGTGTCCACCCTATTCCGCCCTAGAAACCGGGCAAAAGAGGTGGCAATCAGCGATCCCAGATGGATCGGTTTTGCTAGATGCCTCATGAAGAAGAGAGCTAGCAGGCTGGGGACGACAAAGTGGGTGAGCAGGGTGTGCAGGATCCTCCAAGGGTCCTCAGCTACACCGCATTGGTGCGGCTTGCCTCGTACTCCTCCTGCTCATGCACGGGATGTTGGCAACAACGCATTTGTATTGGAAGTGGGTTGTGTACTGCCGCTCCGTCATCGTCATGTACGTCGAGTCGAGTCCCATGGCCTGGGTGAAGGCATCATAGGTCAGCAATCGCGGCTGACCTCCCAGCATAAACTCTATGTACGGCCGACTCTTCTTGGCGGTCGGGATGACGTGGGCGAACGTGGAGTAGAACTCCACGGCGAGCTCATGGTAGATGAGCTCATCTATAGAGAGCAACATGCGCCACTGGGGGTGGCAAACGACCCCTAACATTGCGGCTCGCCACCTGAACATCTTAAACTTTTCCGGGTCCACCCACCAATGCTGCCCAATCGGGTTATCCGTCTGGTAGGCGAACTTATCTCCGAAACGGGCGTGTTTCACCAGGTAACTAATGTACTCGTGCTCCACGTTAAGCATCCTGCGAAATTGACAAACATGCACCATACGTGGAAATAACGTCAATCTCAGCTCATTGGGAGGAAAAAGAATCCCCCCACCCCACACACACACACACACTCCTATATTTCCAGTACGGATCCATCTTATCAAAACCATGAAGCATAAGCACACCGAGGCATGGTTCTAGGCGGTCACGGATTATCTCACACAAAAATTCAAACTCGAACCATGCCACGGTTTCTACCAACCACCACTTAATCAAAACAATTCTAATCATTCAACAATTAGCACTTGGTAGGCAAATTTAACAAATACAAGCAATTCGAATTAAAACATGCCCACCAAGGCTCAACTATGCTCAAGCAACATCATTCAATAAACTTAATTCACCTAATTCCTCGCCCTAATTCTCCTCACTTCACTACCTAATTCGATTCTCCCAAATTAAATAAGGTAGAGCTGAAAAGCAACTTGGAGACTCAAGTAGGATGTAGGAGGAAGTTAGGTGAGGGCGAGGACGGTGAAAATTGGCCGAAAAACAGAAAGGAGAAGGTTGTCGGAGCTTCATCGGAAGCTCGCCGGACACTCGTCAGAGGCTCGCCGGTGGCGACTTCAACGGAAAAATGTGCTCCAAATCTCACCAAAATCTCGGCGAATGCCGCTTTTGATGAGGCGAGAATGGGTCTATGCTAGGTTTTTGGTTTTGCTCGTCGGAAGTGGATGAAATGGCCAAAAAAACGTCGGAATTTTGTGGTTTTCCGGCGAGATTAGAAAATTTCCTGCGAATTTTAGGTCGGGAAGTCAAGAGTCGACATTCTCGACTCTTTTATAGGCAGACCCTTGAGTTCACTGATGTATTGCAGTGTTCAAGGTCTTAGAGACCTTGAACACTGTAATCCGTTTGTGAACTCGGGCAACCCGGTAAGTTTGAGACACGTGAAAGCACCAAGGTTCACGGACGCGTTTACCCATTCACGGTATTTGACATGCTACGACACAACTCCTTAAATGACCAAGTATAACCAATGAATGGGACTGCAATATAGTGACACAAGTAATAAATATCGAATCCACGGGTATCTAGAGTTACTATTACTCAGCTTAAGTTAATTATCTAGCTACTATTAAGGATTGATTTACTAAACTACTATACTAACTATTCTACTAATTACAGGTTGGGAACTCACTTAGGTATGATTCCCCATATCTCCTCAATTAGGTCCAAGTTGTAATTCCTTTTGGTTGTTCTACTGTTGATTAAACTGCTGAAGATCCTAAATTAGCTTGGAATATCTTAAACTGACCAAGCCCTCTTAGACAAAATACCCGGCAGACGACTAGTCTTCCCTGGGATAGACTGCTAAGACGATTCACACAGATCTCCACTACTAGAATGAATTCTAGTACAAAGCAGTGAATTGACCGCCTCTCGCAAAACCAATTCACTCCTATCAATCAAGGAAGCTCTCTTGACCTAATCAGATTCTATCTATCTTAGGTTAAAGTAGAAATCAAGAGAATTTGATCAGGATTCAATTGACTCAATAAATCATGCGTCAATCGATTATAATCACACAATATAACATCCAAAACTTCATACAAGAAAGATCCATACACATGGAACTAGGGTTCCTCAAAACCTAAGTAAAGGGAAGTTACTCCATAGAGAAGAGAGAGACTGCAGAAATCTGATCAAGATCTTCAATCTCCATCTCCAAGCTTGATTCTCAAGCTCCAATGGTGAAGAAATCCTCCAAAATAGCTCCAAGAATCTTTCCAAGTCGCTCTCTCTCTCGGGTTTGTCCTTTGGGTGTTTGGGATCCAAAACCCAGCTCTCTCCTCTCAAAAATCGCAGAAAATAGACATACCCGAGCAGGGGGCAGAAACACGGTCGGGAACACGACCTTGTTTAGTCATGCCCGCGTTATGGTCTCGCCCTTGTTTAAAATCCCTTCAGCAGTCTTCACAAGAGAGGCTCGGCATAAAAAACACTGGCAAGTGCCAGATGAAACATGGCCGTGTTTTTAGGGTAGCTTGCCTATGTTTCTTCCGCTAAACCTGTTTCCCTATATTCAATGCTTCGTTCTCCCTCGTCCGGACTCTGAATCAGTTGCCGTTTGATCCTAGATGCTCGTAGTCTAGTCCTATTTCTTTTCATGACAAGCTTGCATGATTCTTTGTCCATAAATGAGGTATAAATCTATTCTTCTTCAGGTGATGACCATGTTTCTTTTCCCGAATCACCAATTAATCTCCGATTGACTTGAAACTTGCGCTTATGCCTCCCTTTACTCACTAGGACCTGAAATATGACAAAATAACACAACCTAGTGTAAATAGGCCAAGACACCATAAATTGGAGCTAAAACGTTTAAGAAACAAATGTGCAAACATGTGCTACGATACAACTCCTTACAATGAACAAGTGTAACTAATGAAAGGGACTGCAATATAGTGACACAAGTAATAAATATCGAATCCATGGGTCTCTAGAGTTACTATTAATCTTCTTGAGTTAATTATCTAGCAAACTAGATTAAGGATTGATTAACTAAACTACTCTACTAACTACTCTAATAATTACAGGTTGGGAACTCACTTAGGTATGATTCCCCCTAGCTCCTCAATTAGTTCCAAGTTGTAATTCCTTTTGGTTGTTCTACTGTTGATTAAACTGCGGAAGATACTATTTTTTTTTTTACCACATGCAACAGGGACAAACAACACTAAGACTCGCCACCCCACACTCAGGATGGAACATTGTCCCTAATGTTCAACTCCTACTCTAAACATGCACGGGTTTGACACAACTAAAAAGAAAAATAAAGAAAAGAAAACTTACCTTGGGTTGCCTCCCAAGAAGCGCTTGTTTAACGTCCTCAGCCTGACGTTCATGGAGCTTTCAACCAATGGGTATGGAAAGGTATCCAGCATACCCTCCCGAGCAATGATAGAACGCATAACCTCCATCCAACATATGAGTCACCTCTGCAGGACCAGGTGTGCGAAAATTGGGTATGACCTTCTTAGCTGACATGTTGGACCCTTTAGTGAGGCGTAGGTGGTATTGCAGCGCCTCAAGCAAGTACTCTTCCTGTTTCAATGTTAGTGAAGAAGGAATAATAACAGGAATATTGAAATCCTTACCCAAATATCTATACTTGAGGTGACCTGGCAAGGATTTCTGCCCTTGCCTTGATTTCAGAATCTGAGCAGATAGGATAGGTGATAGTTCTTCGGATGGTCCACTATCACAGGAAGAGGGATTTTTCCTTTCTCGAGCTTCACTTTCAAATTCATCATGATTATGGTCAACTTGAAAGACATTAAAAATTTCCTCCTCCTTACCTACTCGGAATGTCAACTTGCCTCTCCCAACATCGATGAGTGCATCACCGGTTGCTAGAAAAGGTCTGTCGAGGATTAGAGGCACTCCCCGATCATCTTCCATCTCCAGGATTACAAAATCTGTTGGGAGAATAAACTTTCCCACCTTCACCAATACATTCTCCACCACTCCTTTTGGAATTTTCACTGATCGATCAGCCAATTGGAGAGTGATCCGAGTAGGCTTTAGAACATCTCCCAATCCCAATTTCTTGTAGACTGAGTATGGCATCAAATTAATTCCTGCTCCAAGATCACAAAGTGATTTATTGAATTCTGTACCTCCAATGACACATGGAATGGTGAAGCTGCCCGGATCATCCCTCTTTTCTGGTAATTTATTCTGAATCACAGCACTACATTCAGAAGTAAGGGTTACCTTCTCCAGATCAGCCCATTTCCGCTTCTTTGTCAGCAACTCCCTTAAGAATTTAGCATATGTAGGCATCTGTTCAAGTGCCTCCGCCAAGGGTATGTTAATCTGAAGAGGCTTGAAGATATTCACAAATTTCTTGAAGTTTGGGTCTTCCATGGGCTTCATTAACCTTTGAGGGAATGGTGCGGGAGGTTCATAAGGCTTTACCTCTTCATTCTTCAATTTTTCCACTTTTTGAGGTACACGGGCAGCATGCTTTTGCACAGGCAAACTGCTTTCATTTTGCCTGTGCAAGGCTGATTCTTCATTTTCTGCACAAGATCTTTCTCCCGATGCTTCCTCTTCTGCCTCTGGTGCCTTTTTCGAGCTGCTAGGGTCTTCCAAGGCCTTTCCACTCCTCAATGTCACTGCTACAACCATGGCATCCTTCGAATTCCTCTCAGTATTTGCTGGTAATGTCCCAGGAATCCTGGCTTTCATATCTGCCAAAGTTTGAGCCATTTGTCCCATCTGCCTCTCCATAGCTAGCATAGACGATTGTAAATTATTGTTGATGGCTAGCTGTTGAGTGACAAATTGATCCAGGCCCTTGAAATTATTGTCTGTTTTCTGCATATGAGCCAAAATCAACTCCTCCAGCTGGGGCTTCTTCTCTGGTTGAGGCTTCTGCTGTTGAAAACCAGGAGGTGGGATGTTTCGAACACCAGTTGGGTTGTTGTTCGCCCAGGAAAAGTTAGGATGCTTTCTCCATTGCGGGTTGTAGGTATTTGAATACATACCACCCTGGCCTTGATTTCGCTGATTGTTGATATAGTGCACATCTTCCAACTGATCAGCCACCAGTGGACATAGATCCCTATGATGAACACCTTCACATAATTCACAAAAAGCAACCTCCTCCTGTCTACCAAGAGCCATCTTAGCCAGCCTTCGTTCGAGTGCATCGAACTTGGAATCCAACTTAGCATCAATCTTTGCTTCTAAGCTTGCCACTCTGTCTATCTCATGCAAGCCTCCTCTCCTTCGAATGCCGGTCTCACTACCCCATTCAGTATCTTCAGAGCATATCTTCTCCACCAGTTCATATGCTTCTGGTGCTTCCATTCTTGTGAAACCATTTCGGGAAGCATTATTCAGAGCATCCCGAAACTCCCTTCTGATTCCATTGAAGAAAATAATGATCACGTTCCAATCTTCAAGACCATGGCTTGGGCATCTCATCAACAGCCCTTTGTAGCGCTCCCATGCCTCAGTCAGACTCTCATCATCAGCCTGCTTAAAAGTAACAATCTCTTCTTGCCTCTTCATTGCCAAGGCAGGTGGGAAGTATTTATCCAGAAATACCTTCTCAAGCTGACTCCATGTCGTGATGGAACGGGGTGTTAAGTTTTGGAACCAGTGTGATGCATTCCCTAGCAGAGAAAATGAGAACATCCGAAGACGGATTGCATCATCAGATACTGTGGGGCTCTTCATTGTATCACATATACTCGCGAACCGGCGGAGATGCTCGTGAGGATCCTCATTGCTAGCCCCAGAGAAAGTATACCCATTGGTGATCATGTTGATAAATGCTGGGGTAATCTCCATGGTTGCATCCCCAGCCGGAATGAAAACACATGAAGCCCGGGCTCCAGTCCGTCGATTTAAACGAGCCCTGATCGAACGATCCTCGTCTGCCATGATGACTGGCTCAATGTCACGAGGTGGTGGTGGTGGTGTAGGGACGACAGGTGATGAAGCCTGCCCTCTCTGGGTTAGGGAAGGCCTAGGAGTTGTGGTTGGCTGCTTCCCTAACTTGACCTGCTTCCTGTTCAGTCGACAGGTCTTCTCGATCTCTAGGTCTAGTGGCAATAAATCCCTGGTTGTCCTCCTAGGCATGCACAAAAAGGATTAACCTGAAATTCACCTGCACACTAGCACACAGATCAAAATAGTTCACTCACAAAAATCAACAAAAAATAAGGTATGGCAGTCCCCGGCAACGGCGCCAAAAACTTGATAGGGCAAAAGCGTATGCCTTAATCCTATCTCGTAGTAAACCGGAAAGTCCGGGTATCGTCTCTCAGGGACTGGTACAACCTTAAGATTTACCGATTTAATAGAGCAAACTATAGGTGAAAAAGATTTAATGAGATTATTAACTACTAGCAAAATTAACTAAACAAGCAAATTAAAGTGTCGGGTTTAAATCAATGGGAGAAAGCTCTGGGAGAAACACCGGGATTCACTACCTATCCTATCCATATTAATTCACAGATGCCAATCAATTTAATCCATACCTCTACAGCCAGGATATCACGAATGTGCTAGCTATCCCTGTCGGGAATTACTACGTACTAAACAATCAATTCAAATCCTACTGTCGTAGCTCAATGAATTAACTATATAGTCTGAAGATCGATATCCTATTTAAGACCGCATAGCACCTTATTTAATCCACTGTCGCTTCGATAAGTTACTATGTCACATGAAATATGTTCAGTTAATAGGGTTTCACTGTCGCTAATAACCTAATTAACTACGAATCGTTGTATTGGTGGCCAGTCAACACAAAGCATTAAGCAATTTCATGCAATAGAGATTGGAAGAAAAGAATCATAAATCAATCCATCAAATCAAGAAATAGCTACATCCTATGGTGTTTCCCCCAGAAATTGGGGTTTAGTTTATGATGAAATTAAGATAAATCGATAGGGTTTTGTTCATCATGTTCTAAATCAACAAAAAACAACTAAATTGGTTCAGAAAATCCAACCAACTAATCGCTCTCGTTGAACTCAGCTCAGGTAGCCTGGAAAACTGATTCGCCGATTGAAAATCGACTAGTCACCTTTTGCTCTGCTGCTGCCTTGCTGTGCCGCTTCCTTTCTTTCTCACCAAGAAATTCGCGTCCCCTCTACAGCCAAAAGTGCCGCCTCCCTTTTATTTTGCCTCCTGAGAATTTCGTTTTTCTTTCAAACAAGCTTCCGTCCAATTATGATTCCGCCTCCCAATAATAATAATTCCCTTCCGGCCGCTTCCGCTCCAAAGTCCAAAGAGATTTTCCAAACCCAATTCACGTCCAAAAGTAAGGCTAAAAGTAATTGCCACCCACAGTTCGTTTCTTTTGTTCCGCCTCCAAAAAGAATTTCACTCAAGTCCAAAAGTCCAGCCCAAGCCCAAGCCCAATCCCGGTTCAACTCCTCAGTAAGTTCCGGTCCAATGTACATCCAGTCCACTTGAATTATTCTATCCACCAATGCAAATTTCTCGTTTCATTTAACTGAAATATATAAAACATTTGGCACTTGATGGTAATGGTTTTATAACCATTCCAGGCTTAGTTGGACCTCAAACAAGTATTATAGGTCTCAAACATATGATGAAAAAATCACATTAAGCATGCAAAATCAATATGTTTTCGACAATTATCAATCACACAATATAGCATCCAAAATTTCATACAGGAGAGATCCTAACACATGGAACTAGGGTTCCTCAAAACCTAAGTGAAGGGAAGTTACTCCATAGAGAAGAGAGAGACTGTAGAAATCTTATCTAGATCTTCAATCTCCATCTCCAAGCTTGATTCTCGAGCTTCAATGGCTTAGAAATCCTCCAAAATAGCTCCAAGAATGTTCCCAAGTCGCACTCTCTCTAGGGTTCGCCCTTGGGTGTTTGGGATCCAAAACACAGCTTTCTCCTCTAAAAAATCACAAAAAATAGACTTATACCCGACCAGGGGGCAGAAACACGGTCGGGAACATGGCCGTGTTTAGTCCTACCCGTGTTTTGAATCTCTTCAGCAATCTTCACAAGAGAGGCTCGGCATAAAAAAAAACTGCAGGTGCCAGATGAAACACGACCGTGTTTTTCGGGTAGTCTGCCTGTATTTCTTTCGCCGAACCTATTCCCCTATATTCAATGCTTCGTTTCTCTCTCGTCCGGACTCTTAATCAGTTGTTGTTTGCTCTAAGACGTTTGTAGTCTCGTCCTCTTTCTTTTCATGACAATCTTACATGATTATTTTCCATGAATGAGGTAGAAATCCATTCTTCTTCAAGTCATGCCCGAGTTTCTTCTGCCGAATCGCCAATTGATCTCCGATTCACTTGAAACTTGCGCCTATGCCTCCCTTTACTCACTAGGACCTGAAATATAAAAAACAAAATAACACAAACTAGCGTAAATAGGCCAAGAAACCATAAATTGGAGCCAAAACGGTTAAGAAACAAGTGTGCAAACATGTGCAAATATGGTGCTATTAGTCTTATAAGACATTGAACTTAGCAATCCGTCCGTGAACTCAAGTGAAAACAGGGCACTTCTCAAAACATTTTGACTCGACCTATTCCACCGTGCCTATTATCGATCATGACACAACTTCAAAATGCACAACCACAAAACTTGGCACGAGGATACCACCCGACAAATTGAACTCTCACTCGACATACAAAAATGAAAATAAGGAAAAGAAAACAAACCTACGTTGGGTTACCTCCCAACAAGCGCTAAGTTAACTTCACAAGCTTGACGTTGCCCTTTACCTTCCACTAGGCTTTAGCACGACTTATCCTTTCCCTCCAAGCTACCTTCCTTCCTTCTTTGGGCGAGATGCCCTACTTGCTTTCCTGGGGTTCACCTTGCAAGGCCTCCCTCCACTTGCATTCATATCACCCGATTCAACTTCCTTTACTTCCTCACCCCTAGGCTTAGGATGAATTCCCAGAATAATTCTCTCCTCACCATCTCTCATAATCAAAGTTCCCTCATTTACATTGATTAATGTCTTGGCGGTGGCTAGGAAAGGTCGTCCTAGTATGAGTGGCATCTCAAAATCCTCACTTATATCCAGGATCACAAAATCCGTCGAATAAAAGAATTTTCCCACTCGTACTAGCCGCTAGAACTAATGACAGAGGGATCGGCCAATGTGACACTAAGCCTCGTAGTCTTTAGTTCACCTATGTCTAGCCTCTTAAAAAGCTTATATGGCATCACATTTATGCTCGCCGCTAAGTACGCCAAGGAATTTTCTATGTGATGAGAACTGAAGCAATGAGGTATAGTGAAACTACCTGGATCGGGTTGCTTCTTGGGAAACCTGTTGAGGATGATGGCTGAGCACTCCTCGCCTAGGGTGACATTGATGAGGTTTTCGAACTTCAACTTCTTGGAGAGACACCCCTTAAGGTATCTCGAATATCTTGGCATGTGGGCTATCGCTTCAAGGAAGGGAATATTGAGCTTTCGGAGCATCTCCATGAAACCTCCACATTTCGTTTCCAATCTTTCCTTGTGCACTCTCGTGGGAAAAGGTAGGGGTGGCGTGTACTCAACCACAATTGGTGGCGTCGGCAATGCCTTCCTCGCCACTCCTCTCTTTTCTCCCGAGATTTCCTTTTCTTCACCCTCGGGTGGAGGGTCTTCCTTCTCATTTACTTCTTTGGAAACAACCTCCGAGGCCACCTTCCCGCTCCTCAAGTAAATTTCATTGCACCCGACTTTATCCTTGGGGTTGGCAATGGTTTAAGAGGGTAGGATTCCCTTTGACCTCTCGGTGAGGATCCCGAGAAGATTGTTAATTTGAACTTCCAAATTTTGGAGACTCGCTTGATGGCTTCGGAGTCCCGCCGTAATGAAGTAAACTTGGATGTTGCTACATCCATGAATTGCTCAATCTTCTTGAACTTCTGAGAGCTTGTACTCACAATGGAGTTCACATTGTCTTCAAGTTTAGAGAACTTGTCGACTTGTTGTTGTTGTTGAAAACCTTGACTGCCTTGTCCTTGGTATGGTTGTTGGAAGTTCGATTTTTGGAATTGAGGCCTTTGTTGGATGAATGTTGGCCGAGGTTGATAGTTTCTAGTTGAACCTTGGAAACCGGGAGGTCTTGGATTGGTAGGGGAAGACCAAGCGAAGTTTGGATGATTTTGCAACCCGGGGTTGTAGGTGTTGCTATAAGGGTTGTTCCCTCTAGAATTGGCAATGAAGCTCACTTTCTCCTCGGGGGTACTTGACTCCTTCATCGCTTGGCAATCCACAATTTCGTGACTGGTGCTCAAATACCAATCACAAGACATCACCGCTCTCTTCCCTTGCTTCTTGTCCTCAAGGATTGCCTCGATCAACTTGTCAAGCTTCGCTTCAAGTGGAGCACTCGCTCCCATACTTCGCACTCCTTGATCAGTGCTTCTCTTCCCACTTCTTTTCAAGCCCCAATCATATCCCTTAAGAGCCATATCTTCGAGCAACTCGGTCACTTGGAGGAGGGGTCATGTTCATCAACCTCCCTTGTCAAAGAGAGTCAATGAGGATCTTGTCATCTTGAATGAGTCCTCCATATAAATTTTCTATCCGAAATTGCTCCTCAAATCCATGGTGAAGGCATTGGAGGAAGTTGTCGGAGAATATTTCCCATGCATCCCTCAATGTATCATCCTCCTCTTGCTTAAAGTGAGTGATCTTCTTCCTCCATTCGGCCGTCTTCGAAGATGGACAATATCGGATCATGAACTTGTTGATCAGGTCGTCATGAGAGGTGATGGATAGAGCCGGAGGGTTGTTGAGCCATCAGAGTACCTTCCCCGCCAAAGAATAGGGGAAGAGCTTGAATATCAATGCCTCCTCGAGGACGCCATTAATCTTCAAGCTTCCTGCTAACCCAAGAAACCTTTGGACATGCTCTCGTGGTGATTCATGGGCAAGCCCGTGGAAGTAGGCATTTTGTTGAATCATCGTCACGAGAGAGGGCTTGATCTCAAATTTGTTGGCGGCCACGGGAGGATGTAAGATGGGAGATAGGATATCCTCCACCCGTGGAGCCATGTAATAGCCATAGTCCTTGGTCCTTCCTCTTCTCATGCTTCCACATCTCAACTTCAACTCCTCCTTCAATTACTTCAATTTCGGGACCCACTTGTTGTCCCCTTTCTTGACTTCTCCTTCTTGCCTCCGCTTGCTCCCTCTCTCGAGATAGAAGCCGGAGGGTCCGGTTGATGTCCTCGTCTAGTGGTGTTAAAAGCGCTGGATTGCTCTGGGTCATGCACCTCCCTACACACACTCAAAGAACACAACATGTCTAGCACAAGCAAACACTTCACAACTTAACAATAACATAAATTAAAAGCTAGGTTAACACCAAACAAACTTTTCACGATAACGGACCGAAGTCCGCGGCAAAGGCGCCAAAAAGTTGACTCGCTCTGACTATCACAATAAATTCCCACCTAAGGTCCAAGTATAAACCTTAGATGGGTGCAATATAGGGCAAGTATGTTTAAATATCGACCCAGGCCGGTCAATGTACTGCTACTTCGGCTGTTTGAAACATTATCTAGCCGATTGGTTTTGGTGAAAACAAAGGTCTAGAAACTAAATTTCTTTGCAAAGGTAAAATGGATTTGACACTAATTGAGAAAGCTTCACCCAGGTGTTGCTCCCCCAAACTAACAATTACGACTTGAAGAATTGAACGACCGTGTGTGGTTAGGGGGTCATAAATCGTAGGTAAGTCTAACAAGCAGCCGAAGCTACCCTCTTAGCTTCTAGGTTTAGGAATGAGATACGATCCAAGCCACTAATGTGACCCTCTCAACCTATCAACTAAGGAATGGTTAGACTTCACCCTCAAATTGGAGTTCGGACGGCCACCCACAACCAAACCCTAAGTGCTAATGCGAATTAGGAGGTTTGCCCTTTAACTAACCTAGAATAGGAGGCATAAAATGCCCAAGGAAACCAATCTCTAATAAAGCCTCTTAAGTTAAAGAGGGTTCTCTCTAAACTAGCTTAGGAGGCATTGAATGCCCAAGGAAACCCATCTCGAAACGAGCCTCTTAGGTTAAGGAGGGTTCTCTCTAAACTAGTTTAGGAGGCATTGAAGGCCCAAGGAAACCGAGCCTCTTGGGTAAAGGAGGTTACCTCTCTAAACTAGCCTAAGAGGCATGAAATGCCCAAGAACACCCATCTCAAATTGAGTCTCTTAACTTAAGGAGGTTTCCTCTCTAAACTAGCCTAGGAGGCATGAAATTCCCAAGAACACCCAATGGGTCTCCTAACCTAAGGAGGTTTCCTCTCTAAGTTAGGTTAGAATGGCAATTAGATTGATAGGCTTTCACACAATACAATCATTTCTGAGTTCACATTAAAATAAAACCACACACAAATCATTCAATTCATACAAGGAATCACATAATTGTAGCTAGGGTTCAAAAACACCCAAGTGTAAGAAGGGACTACTCCATGCTAGGTGAAGGGAAAACTCAAGAGAGGGAAAAAGAAACCATCAAGAAGATGCAATCCTTGCTCCCTGTGCTGAAGAAATCCTACTTTGGGGAAGAAATTCCCAAAACCTAGCTTTTTCTTTTCTTTGGTTCGTCACTTTCTCACTCTAAAATCTAAAGAATGAGAAGTTTCACTCTAGGTCTCTCCCCCTTTCGTGAACATTGAAACGCGTTCGTGAACTTAGTGCTGCGACCAAACACACTGCTTCATTTGCTCGGGTTCACGTTCAGTAGCCTCTGTTCACGGTCTTAGTGACCGTGAACCGCCTAGGAGTTAGTTTCTTGAAAACCCCCTCTATTTGCTCCTCGGTTCACAGTTTCTGGATCCAGTTCACGGTCTTGTGAGACCGTGAACTCCGTCAGGCCGTGAACACTGGCCGTCTCCACCTCTTTGCCCGGTCTTTGCTCCTTTTCTTCCAACTTCCGACTCCGGGTTTGGTTTTACCTGTTAGGATCTGAAACACACTGAAATACAAGCAACCTCGAGTTAAACCAACCTTTTTAGAGTCCAATTGCAACAAACATCAAAGAGAATAGGAGATAAAAAAGTATAAAATTAAGGGCGAATAAGGGGTTTTGGGAATAATTTTGCCTTTACTTTTCACAAATCCATTTACATTATGAAATTATGGCTATGATAAAAGTTGTAGCTCTTAAAAAGTTATGCAAAATAAAAAAAAATCATAACGTTCGGATTGCGGAGCACAAAATTGTGACCGGACAAAGTTTGGCTTAATCGAAAATTGTTCGTTCGGGGTAGCAAACGTCCTTTTTTCGGGACGAAGGGGGGACCCAACCGCCTATGGCTGTTTGCAGACTGCAAGATCTCAAAAAATTATGTGGAGTCAAATTTTTTTTGGTACAATCGTATAACCAAACACAAAGTTACGTTCGTATAAAGTTTCAACGCAGGTTAGGCATTTACTGCTTTTGCAAGCTACGGTGATGCATTCACGGTTCACTGCTTTGGTCAGCTGAGGTGAATGCCCAAACATATATAGATTGTAAAAAAAAAATTATAACTTGTGTATTTTGGGGGGAAATCCCATATGTGCTCTCATTCCAACCTGGGTACACGGTTGAAAGAAACCTTTTCCTTCCCGGACGTTAACTGGATGGAGATGGTGAGTCAAGCTAACAAGAAATTCCCATCTGCTGGCGGGGAAAAGTGAAAACCTTTGTAAAAGAAGAAAAAAATCCAGAATCATACCAAAAAGCTGTACCAGGCTGCGGTTTACGGCTTCCAAATTTTCTAAAGGAATATACTCCAAAAAACACTCTCTAATATCCAGATACCCAGAGCTCCATCTGTCAATCAGTTTTTCAAAACTTAAATTATAACTTCACTGCCAACGACCAATCCCTCATGCAAATCAAGGAGCAATAATACAACTATAGCTGAAACAAAGTAATGGTGGTTCGTTTTCTTGCTTCACCCACCGCCATCGTCCCACGTTATCTCCATTCTTCTCCCACTTTCAGGTACTCCTACGACTGATCCCTTTTGTTAAATTGGCTACAAGGTTTCTATTTTGGATTACTTTTCTTTCTTTAATTGTTGGGTTTCCGTCACTGTGTACTCTTTCTTCACACTGTTTGATAATGTTTTCAGTTTTCCAAAAGCTCGATTTGTGTTGTTGCGCCGGGATTGTTGACAATCTAAGTTCACGCATTCCCCATCGCCTAACAACAACTCGCGTTGGACTTAATTGCATGAATGCTTCTTCATTTTGTCCTTCTCCAATTGATTTTTTGTTCCTCAGCTGCAGTTTGGGAAAATTTTACTCTGAGGAGTAAGGGCTTTTGGATCTTTCAAGGAATTGGGCAGATCAAATTTTACGAATTCAGAAATGGGTAGTGAGTATTTGGACCCGAATGTTGTCAAGTTGGCAAATTTCCGGGTGTGCAAGGTTTCCAGGTAACTTCGACATGGTACAAGATGCTATTGCGCTTCTGTAGCCAGTTATTTCGGTTCCTTATTTAGTACTTGTACTGATCTTTCACTGTCCAGTTACACGACTGAGTTGCTAGAGATTCAAGCTGATAACCCAACAGTGCATGTCCTCTTTGTCCCTGGAAATCCAGGTAATGTTTTATGGTTACTAATGAGTGTTTTGCTGCGTTATTAATACCCAGTCTCAGTGTGGACTTGAGCAGAATTAGGATTATGGTTTTGCCTGTTTACAACAGGTGTTGTTTCATTTTACAAGGAATTCGTGGAATCGCTGTATGGTTCACTCGGAGGGACTGCATCTATTACAGGCAATGCTCATCTTCGTTTTACCTGATGCTAGTTTGAGTTTTGTTATGCTGGCTGAATCTAATTGAATGTTCTTTTTTTTTCTTTGCGAACAGCAATTGGGCACATTGCTCATACAAAAAAGGTGCGTAATGATATATACAGTGTTTGCTTTCCTTGGCATGGAAATGTTAACTTCCAGTATTTGTTGCCAACCAAGATTCAAGATGTTGGCTAGTGCAAGTGCTTATAGTTCGCAGATCGGTTTCTGTTGTACCCAAAGGAGCATAAAATTAGAGTTGGCCTTTAATTTCTTCATTAATTGACTGGACATCCTGCTCAATGATACCAGACAATTGGTTTTTGGTATGTTCCCTGTGTGGTATTATGGTGACGGGCTCTGAAGTTTCTATGTATTTTCAGAACTGGGAGCAGGGGCAGTTGTTCTCCTTACAGCAGCAAATTAATCATAAGGTATTCATCTATATGCTTCATTTCACAGAACAATCAAGTTGAATTATGTACATAATCTATAGTTCTGTGACACCTAATTAATTCAGATGAGTGTCGGACCTCAGGGCTCTTTATTTTGTAGCAAGAGAAACTTTCTTCTCAAGTTTCGTTTGCTCTTCTGAAAATGAACTGTTGTATTTCTGAGTGTCATATTATCTCCTGCTCACTGAACTTTTTTCCCCCTGCTATACCAGTAACACCACACTTTCACGATTGACATCTGATCTTGAGTTCTGTTTCCCCTTCGTAGGTGGACTTCCTTAGCCAGGAACTGCAAGAAACTGAAGTTCCCATTGTTTTGGTAGGGTTGTTTTCCTTTTCTTATTTCTGTTCCTTGATCTTTAGGTATAAAGTCTTTTTGGTTAATGATCGATTGGCGTTAGATGAATTCAGGGATAAATTATCTGTTGCATTTGTGTTTGCACCAATGTATAATGCCCTCCTCAGGAACAGATTAAACTAGGTGATGCAGTTGTACTGAGTGCTGGTTAAATACAAGAATTTTAACTATTTGTGATCAGGGATCAACTGGATTGATCTCTCTGTGTCAACCATCTAGGAAGCTTTGATTTAGATAGATCTTGATGAGATATAGTACATATAACTGAAAATGTACTCTGATGACATTGGCTTTTACGTATAATAAAAGCACATGTGTTTGTTCAGGAAGTGTCTCTCTTATCCTCAAGTTGCCAGTTTTGTCACCCTATTTTTTTCTTTGACCGCTAGGCATAGGTTACTGCTTTACCTCTGATTTTCAAGATCATGCCTTACTTTTCAATGGTATTGTAGTTTGGGAATGGAAATCCCTGCTAACTTATAAAATTCCTTTATGAAGGTTGGACACTCTATTGGTGCCTACATAACAATGGAAATGTTGAAGAGAAAGGGAGATCAGGTAAAGGTGGACGCTGGGTTTACAGTTTCAGTGAATCGATAATGTCTGTCGTTTTGACATGTCTCTTTCGTAAACATTACAGGTGATATATTTCATAGGGTTATACCCCTTCATAATGGTAAATCCTCAATCAAAGAAGCAGGCCAATATTGCAAAAGTCTCGAGGTATATCTATTTTTGTTTTTGAGTAAGATCAGTTCAACTTTTCGCCTTTATAATAATGTTTGATATATATATCCAGCTTGCTTCGTCATTGCATTGATGCTCATTTATTTTTCTTCAGCTCATGGTAATATAGATAGGCCGGGTTATATCTTGAGAATATGCAGTTACATTGATGGTAGATTTAGAGCAGCAATGAGTAATGCCCATGGATTATTCTATTAGTTGGGGACTTTTAAAACTATTATTATTATTATTATTATTATTATTATTATTATTATTATTATTATTATTATTATAGTTAAATCAAATTTTCATTAAGCCCGGGTGAACCAAAGAAAACCTTTGTCACCTCTCATGATTACACCATCGAAGGAGATAGCATTGTGCCGAACTCTTAGGAACAACTACCCTCTATACAACCACGTATACAATCAGAACATAACAGTCCTACACAACTTTTATACCGTTCTAACTGTAAAGAAATGAAACTTTGTTGAAGGTCATAATCTCTCAGAAGCTTGGTTCTAACGCCTCCCTGCAAATCCGTGAGCAACTGTGCAGGAGTTTTGCCTCTTCCACTGCCATACATACGAGAGCATCTCTCTCTCAAAACTAGGCTGATAGCCAAACCCCAAATCAGACAACATATCTTGTTCGTTAGCTGCTTCCCACTCCACTCCATTTCATTACACACCAATTCACCATGTCATCCCAAGTAGTTACCTGGTCAGGAGGGCCATGCTTCTTTACACTACTGCAGATGATAAATTTGATACAGTCCACAATTAGGTGATCTTGACATTCCATTCCACCAGGACAGAGGAGACACAATCCAGAGATCGGCTTGCCCCATGAGAGCAATTTATCCTGCATAGCGAGTCTCCTGTGCATTGGTAGCCAGAGTATAGAAGGTACTCGAGAACCAGGATTTCTTATAGAGTTCCAGACCCTCTTGATTCAAAACCTCTCCATAACTTCCCCTTGCCACGTTAGTGAATTTCCAGCTCTAGAGATAAAGGGATAAACTGCTTCTCTGCATTTCGGCACTTGTTACCATATCCAGGAGCCTCCAAACAAACTATTATTACTGAATAATAGAGATGAATTGAATTTTCAGATCATCCATCCTGAGTTGCCTGATGAGTTTGATGGTAGCATCAATTGGACTGCTGCCTAAGTGGCTTTCCCAGTACATAGTGGTACAATATATTGGTAACAGTTCGTGGTCTACTTCAGCTGTCGAGACTGCTCGTGGTCATTTGCTGAAGGTGAAGTTTCTACCTTACTTCTCTCTCTCTCTCTCTCTCTCTCTCTCTCTCTCTCTCTCTCTCTCTCCCTCTCTCTCTACATATTATATATCAAAAGACTCCATTCTTTCCGGAAAGGTTCTCACACCATAATTTGACATCCATCTTCGTGGTGTGCTTGTTAATTAATTCTTGGACTAAAGAAGTTCTAATCCTTTTGAGTTGGTTTGTTTCACAGTACCATTTGTTCAGGAACATGCTTTATATGGCAATGACAGAGTTCAAGGAGGTGAAAAATGCTCCCTTCTTTTTAAGGATGAATCTTGAGAACTAATTCCTGTAAATAAACATGGGTGTTTGGTTATGTTAGTTTTCACAGGCACCAGACTGGGAGTTCATAAGAAAGAATCAACGTAAAATGACATTCCTGTTTGGTGATGATGACCACTGGGGGCCTTTGCAAGTCTATGAGGAGGTTAGCATTCTAACATGCTAATGATAATGGCAATTAAATTGCATCTCAAAGTTTGTATCATCTTTACTGGAAGCCTTTCGGTTTTGAAATGACTTTTTGTTTGATTGCCGGTCTGCAGATTGCAAAGCAGGTCCCTGACATGGCCTTAATGATAGAAAGGGAAGGCCTTTCCCATAGCTTCTGTTGCACTGAAGCGGGCTCTATCTGGGTTGCCAGGCATGTAGCAAGCCTAATAAAGATTCAAACTTCAAGCTCAGCTTCTGCAGCAGATGATGGGAAGCTCTCTCAGATCGCTTAGGAGCTGGTTATCGTACGATAATCCTTACAGGTATTGGACAGAGAAAGTTGCAAAAAATGATCAAGGGACAAGGAACCACCATTCTTTCAGTAATAGTTGGTGTACTCATTTGTATATCTTAAGCTGCTTTCTTTTCTATTGTTGTTTGATGTGTGTGATTGTCATAGTGTGAACTTTCTAAGAGGCTAGAGGGGGAAATGGTAAATGGCAAAACAGTTGCTCAGATCCCCTAATTGACAACATATGTTATATGTACACTTCTTACCTAGTGAAGTGAACCAATGGTAAATGACAAAAAGCATCAGTGGATGGATGAACTCCACTGGTACGAACTTGTGTGGTTAGATGGGATAAGAAAATGAACGGAAAAAAATCTCAAAGTATACTAGTTCTTAAAAAAAAACGGTAAAATGTTCACCGTCTTTGTCAAACGCGGTGATTATATTCCCTGCGTTTGTTAAAAACGGTGAATGTGAAATATGTGTGCTTCTGGAAATTTTTTTATAACTTGTGTATTTTGAGAATTTTTTTTTAAGAACTGATGTACTTTGGGATTTTTTTTCCAAAATGAACGAAGGGATTGGATAGTGGTTTCTAAACAAAATAAACTTTGTTCTTATTTTGATTGACGGGTTGATGGAGATTGAGATGTTATTTCTCACACTTATAGAGTGAGGATGAAGAGGAGTAAGGATTAGATGATGTTTGGATATAGTTCACCAATTACTATTTGGAGGATGGTTCTCCACGTCCATTCAAGGGCTCATAAAAGTAGCCCACTAAATTAAAGGTTGAGAACTGTTAGGAAAATAGGTATTGGAATATGGGGCTCACAGATTGAGAAAACAACTAATAAGTGAAAAACAAACCGAAAAAGCAACTAATAAAATTTAACTTACATATACTAGTTGTATATCTATATTCTAGTTGAACGAAAATCATATTCGTATTGAACAAAAAACATATTTCGTATGTGTGATTTGTGTATTCGTAATTTTTACAACTTGTATTCAGAACGAGTACACACATATTAGAAAACATATTCTTACTAAACACAACATATTCGTAATGATCCGAAAACATATTTCATCTCCAAGGATCAATCTAAGGAAATGGGAAGAAGAAGCAGAATCAAGTTCCCATGGTTTTTCCTCTTCTCTAGTTGTTGTTCTTTCTCGAGTTATGGAGTAGTTTCTATTTTCATTTGATAATGTGAACTTTAGTCTAGGATGTTGTGTATTGATGTTTGTGAACTCTATGTGATGATGGGTATGTTTAATTATATATGGATTGTGTATTAATCATGAAACTTGAGTGTCTTTTATTAATTCCATCAATTTTGGGACAAATTGACCTAAGAGAGAGAAGATCTCCTTATAGCAATATGGGTCGGTATTCAATACTCGCAGAGAGCCATGAGTTACAGTGATGGGTACCTTTATGTTGTTCCGGGTCAATACACGAGGGAGTGGATTTAGTAGCCCTATTCGTCTTTTGCGGTAGTGTGGTACGCCCCTCCGATTAGATCATTTAGGCGGGTTAGGACTAATGGTATATTGAACTTGCCAATCGAACTAAAGTGTCACCATCTCATCTCAAAACAGGAATATAGGGAATATTATCCGAGTGGAGCCTTCTCATCTTGAATTCACCATCATTTCAGTAGTTTGTTTGCTTAGCTTGATAGTTTTAACAACGTTCCGATCACTAGATAATTTGTGGTTTACTGAAGTAAAGGTAGATGAACCGCCAGGGTCGATAATTGTAAATATATTTTCCCTATACTACACCATCGTATGATTATACTAGGCCTGTGGTGGGAGTGTATAATATGTTTTCTTCAACCAAGATTGCTTGCAGAGGACCATTCTTGGCCAGGCGATTGAGAACTGTTGAGAACTTCGTGGTTAAGTGTGCTCATTTCATCTACCCCATGGACTCGTGATAATGGAAATTGAGGGATGTAATGATGCGCCTATCATTCTTGGAAGACCATTCTTGGCCAGTGCAAGAACCATCATCAATGTGAGTAGCAATAGTATCACTTTGGGGTTTGGTGAGGAGGATATTCATTACATTATGACTCCATATCATTCATTTCACGAGTATTTTCAATGGGAAGATGCAACTAAGGATTGTGAGCCGATAAACCCTACCCTTACTCCACCATTAAGTCTAGAAAATAAATGGCTTGACATGGTCTCCATTTTTGAACCCTGTGATGTGAAAAATTATTCAGAAGAGTACAAGATGAAGATTGGTTATACAAGAGCCATCAATAAGAAGAAATTTGAAGAAAAGAAGGTGAAGAAATTTGAGCCTGAAGAAAGGTACCCCAAGTTGAAGATCAAGGACCAGACAAAGAAGTTAAAATCGAGCAATGTTGCTCTGATCAACAAAAAAAAAAGAGTCTGGGGAGGGCTTCAAGTCACTCACGAACATAGACTTCTGAATTGGATCGATTTGCACTAGGGAGGCAGAGCAACGTAGGCTAGCATTTGTATTGAGAAGTAGTGGGTTTCCAAGTCCATGGCTAAGTAATTATTACGTCTTGGGTTGTAATTGATATCTTATTAGGTTCGTTCATTGTATATATTCAAAATCCACGGATAATTGTGAAGTCTAGCCCACGATCTCAGCGCCCAAGTAGTCCTGAACGTTGTCATTTAAAGATCACTGTATGATGAATACGATTAGTATATGTTGGTTTAGGTTTATGAATCAATGTCTAGCATGGTTTAGCCCTAGGTTTCCTTCGGTTATTTCTAGCTTGTATGTGAATGAATGCCTCTTACCAAAGATAGTTGATTGGTAGTCCTAGTTGGTGGACGAGGTGATCATCTCCTGCCAACTAGGAGCTCACCTCGATAATGCTTTTGATACGAGTGCATGACCATTGACTTGTAAAACATATTTACAAATGATTTAAATTCGTATAGAGAAGGTAAATTTTCACCCCTAGTTAAGAAATTTGGTTGTGGTGACATTGGGCCGATGGACATGGCTATGAAAAGGATTCGGGAGACGTGACCATTGCACCAAATCCCTCTATAATGTCCTTCACACTCTAAATGCCATGAATCCATTATCTATCATTTGCATGTTTGCCTGTAGTTAGGGTGAGAGTAGCTCCTTGCTCAAGTTTTTGCAGAGTAAATTTGTGTAAATTCCACAGCTCTCTTTCCTATAGCCCGACCCTCTATTTATAGTACATAGAAGAAGGGGTTTTTAGGCTTTCTCTATAAATGGGCCAAAATCTTCATTGTACAACTGAGACTTGAATTCTCTTACTCGAGGATGAAAAACGAATATTCCAGAAGATCCCATTGGGTTTGGGCCTATGGAGGCCTAATAGAGCTCACCAGCTGCTAATTTTCTTCGTCCAGTGGTAGTGTGTGATATGCTCGATGAATATCTAATCCTATGCACAGTAACACCTGACCCTAGCAATGACAAGTATACCACTACTAGGCTGGCAGTATAATGGCTCGATCATATTCCCAAGGGAAGATACTCTAGTCTACTCACATGAAGTTAGAATATTATCCAATCCATAGTTTTTTTGTTTATACTATGGAACAAGCAAAACTCACCCTAACTACAAGAAAACATGCAAGTGATAGATAATGGATTTATGGCAATTGTAGTGTGAAGGTCACTAGAGTGGAACATGAATAAATAAGGTCGTTTTTGGGGCCGAGCTTGATTAACTTCGGAGGTCTCGTGGTCAGTTGATCAATCTGGATGCCTACTCCGCACCTTTCAATGACACAAGAGATGTTGACCGAGAGTGCCTTAGGTGGTACAGTTTGCACACCCACCCACACATATTCCCCCTCTCCTTAGATAGTCTGAAACAAGAGGCGGTGTTGTTGACGTATGAGATGGTCAGTTTTATGTTTTTTCCTTATTGGTAAAATTCTACTTTCATTAACACATTTCCCTTCTCGTAGTATGAAATACTTACACTAAATTTTATTTATTGGATATTGCAGCTAGTGTGCCAGATTATTGATGGTATTAATTCTTGCTTGGTGCTTCTGATGAGAATCTTGACAGGTTGCGCCCTTATGGTGACATGGTTTGATGGGTTTGTAACAATTTCATCACCTTTCTGTAGCAGAGATTGTACCACATGCTTACCTTGTAGTTGGTCAATGTTGAACATTGTTCTTTGATGTTTCGATTTTGATCTTTGGATGTTGGATCTCTAATTTGTTTATGTTTGGATGTTGGATATTTTCTGTTTGATGCTTGGATGCTGAATATTTCCTATTTGAGGTTTCGATGATGAATATTTGCTATTTGATGTTGGATATTGCTATTTGAGTTTTTTTTTTTTTTTGTAAATTTGAAGAAGCACTGTAACTTAAAAAAAAGGTAATTCCTTGATAAATTCCACCTAAATCCACATAACTTCGAACATAAAACACAAACTAAGGGGCAAGGAGGAGGTGCAATCAATGGAAAGAAGATAGTCTTCCACACTTCCTCTCTTCTAGTTTGTGTTCCCTCCTTTCACTCTACGAATTGAATCCCTAATGATGTGTAGGAAAGATGAACTCTAGTTTTTAATTTATTTATGGGTCATGTTTGTGAATTTATATGAACCTATAATCTATGTCTATTTGATGTTTGTGCATAAATCTCTTGCTTAGTGTGATTGATTATACTTAACCTAGGTGAGATGTTTTCTATGTTAGGGTTTTTGCTTCACCTATGATTGATTTAGCTTTGGCAAGTCTCCCAACTCTTTCCAACTATCCTACAACTGAGTTAACACTAGGTGGGAGTTTTAGGGTTAGACTAGGTAGTGCCTGATGGTTAATTACAAGTAGGTGAATGATATAGGAATCTAATTCACGGACGAAGTGACCATACCCCTATGGATCAAATATCCACAAATGTGATGCCTATAGGGTAACGTGCGCGACTATTGGCTTGCCTTACTTGCGTGCGGACAGATAGGATCCATTAAAAGAAGGTAGTGCATACCCCAA